CTAGCACCATGAGCGACCGTTTAGCCGTAGGTTACATGTCCTACATCATGGTGACGTAGGCTGGTAGTTATACATTGTCCTTAGCATATGGTGACGTAGCTGGTAGGTTAATACATCGTGCCTAGCAATCATGGTGACGTAGCGCTGGCATGGTAGTTACATTGTGCCTAGTATCATGGTGACGTAGCTGGTATTTACATGTGCCTAGTACATCATGGTGACGTAGCTGGTAGGTTACATGTGCCTAGCACATGGTGACGGTAGCTGGTAGGTTACCAGGGTTCTCCAAGAGCACTTATAGCCTGGCGGCCCGCATATGCAGGCTATCGTCGAGCCCGCCATCCTAAAATGCACCCCACTCTAATATCATAACCGCTCATGCTAAAATTAGCTAAAAAATGCTAAAACTAGGCCCGTAAAAGCAGCCGCCATGCTAAATGAAAATGCTTGAGAACCCTGGTTACATGTGCTACCATCATGGTGAGACGTAGCTGGTAGCTTACATGTGCCTAGATCATGGCGACGTAGCTGTAGGTTACATGTGCCTAGTATCATGGTGACGTAGCTGGTAGGTTACATGTGCCTAGTATCATGGTGACGTAGCTGTAGCTTACATGTGCCTAGCATCAATGGCGACTAGCTGGTAGCTTACATGTGCCTAGCATCATGGCGACGTAGCTGGTAGCTTACATGTGCCTAGCATCATGGTGACGTAGTGGTATCTTACATGTGCCTAGCAATCATGGCGACGTAGCTGGTAGGTTACATTGCTAGCATCATGGTGATGTAGCTGGTAGCTTACATGTGCCTAGCACCATGGTGACGTAGCTGTAGGTTCATGCGCATGGCAGCCTCGCAGGCGTGCTGAATGAGATACAGAGTCACCACAGTGCCATTCACTTCATTGTGATATTCAGTGACATCAGAACCATTGTTAATCAATCTCGATGCACGACTTCTATATACCTATATACTATATATCAGTATTTACATATTCAGGACAGACACAGCTATTACCTAGCCCATGCATTAGAGAAAACCGCACTTGCCCATCTAATCTGATCTTTAAGCAATGAAATCCCTAGTTAGAACAAAGCACACGCATATAATTCTGCTGCCCACACAACTTCTGACGTCTAAATCTCTCTTTTTTTTCTCTTTGAATAGCTTTTTTTGCTGTTGTCGTGAGTCTTTGTGCACCCACGTGCGAGCATCCTTTGTCTATTTAACATCACTCAGCGGCGATTCCCAAAGCTGTCCCGTGGGACAGCAATCCACTCTTGTCACAAATATCAGATATCGGCTGGAATATTTTCTGTCCATGCCAGATGTACCCTGCACACCCAAGGCAGCGTTTCGCCCGCATGTTCTCCCACAAAGAGAGATCTGCCTGGCAGGGTGAGTTGTTGCTGCAAATGAAACTGTATACTCATCTTGATCAGTGACCAGTGCTGGTGCGTGCATGCGCTGCTGCTAAAACGACGAATGAATGTAGTACGTATGAATAGCGACGTCTCCCTCGAGGCTAACAACGTAAAATTTGTAGCATTTCGCAGCGTTTAAGAAACACGTCCGCTGCGTGAGAACCAAGCATAACGGACATAACATAAATCTCTCTGACAATTAAACGAGCAAGTTTAACACAGAGTCGTCGATGCCCGAGGGTCCCGATACACGCATCAGAATTTCTAGACTGCAGACATTCGAATTAATTCGTGAAAACCCGTATCTGCTGCGACACAGCAACAGTGTTGCCCCCTGGTGCAGAAAAGACGGTGAAAATGTGTTGTGACCATATATAGTAGTCAGACACAGCGGTAAAGTCGTTTACATATATTCGCCGCTCTCACATCTCCCTTGGCCCATGATATACTATACTATCACCCATCCGCCGAGAACACAATAACAGTCAGACAAACACTAGTCATCTAAAACTATATGAAAGACGAAGCCATTACAAGCAGCCTCTACTAGCACACGCACACGCACACACACACGCACACACACACACACACTGACGCACACATACACTGACGCACGCACGGGCGCACGCACGCACGGACGCACACGCGCAAGCACTATCACACGCATACCGGCTATGAGATACCACATTGTTGCCCAAACAGAATAGCTAGGCCCTATACTGTTTTCAGGGCTACATATTTGTATCTAACCGACCGCGTGGTTTACGATTTGTGTATACTCACGGCTGCATAGCTGCGACCTGAGGTCTGTGTGCTGCATGACTCCTTCTTTACCGATTCATCTTCATCTTTCACCTCCGTGTTCTGCTTAAGGGTCTGTAAGTAAACAGTTACGATGTCAGAGAAGTGCAAACACGTGAGTTTCTATTTAGCATAAAAAATCGTATGTTAAAGAAATCACATGCCATATGGAGCATAAAATCCACTGCATAAAGGTGCCGGGACATAAACATAAAACTCTTCGGGGATCAAACTAAATATTTGCATATTCCAGCTAGATTGCCATCTACGATGCCCCACATGATATATATTACGCCTGCTGAGAAGCCGGCTATTCCTTGCGAGTGGCTTGCCACCACTCACTGCATACCACTAATCATGATCCGGGATTTCCATAGGCAAAATTTCCGGTTCATAAACCCCTTCTCCATCTCGGCTTGCATGATGCATTCGAGAAATTTTATCGGCGGCGGGAAAAACACACAAGAAAGAAATACATTACGTCGTAAAATCGCAATCAAGCTGTCTGAATGCGCGCTTTTATATACATTGGAGCACCCCCTCCCCACACACACTCAACTAGCACGCAGGCAGGGCGACCGTCACACAATTAACACACACACACACACACACACACACACACAGCCTTCAGATAGGTTCAGTAAGGATGAGAGAGGCACGCGCCACAGCTACTGATGTTACGGCTGTTGCTGCTGTTACTGCTGTTATGGCTGTAACTGCTGCTGCCGCCACTGCTGAGCTATTTCCACTGTTGTTGCGGTTGCTGCTGCTGTTGTTAGTGTTGTTGTTGTTGTTGTTGTTGTTGTTGTTGTTGTTGTTGCTGCTGCTGCTGCTGCTGCTGCTGTTGCTGCTGTTGTTGTTGTTGTTGTTGTTGTTGTTGTTGTTGTTGTTGCTGCTGCTGCTGCTGCCGCTGGCAGCAGAGTTTCGTTTTTACGCGCGGTTGGCTGCATGAGCGGTTGGCGCCATGCACCTTCGCAGCATTCCCTCCTCTCAAGCCCGCTCCAACAACGGCTGGCCTGCTAGCCAGGCAAGCCATCCCGCCACCGCCACCATGCTGACCACGCATTCGTTACACGCCAGCGCACGCTTGCAAGAGACGTCGCTGCGGGGACATGTGACGCTGCTTATAGGTCATGCCCGGACACGGGAGGGCAAACGAATGCATTAAAATTGCTCGCTCATCCGTCTAATGGGGGTGTATAATGGGGATGTCAAGCTCAGATCTACACAATGTCGTACGATGAGAATCTTCAGCAGGAAAGTTAGTTTCGCTACGTCACCGCTAAGAATAATATTATCGTAAATGCTCTTCAAGAGATTGGAAAAAATACTTGAATTAAACTACATTAGTTTACGTACAAGCATGAAGGTCTCTCAAGATTTCTTTGCGATCGCTTCAAGTTGACTAAGCATGCTGCATGTATACAAGATGTACTGTAGCTACGTTGAAATTTACGTAATTATATTTCAACGAAAACGTGACGTTCAACGAACATGCCTGCTACGCGTGTGTTGTTTCTTCAATACAATTACAAACAATGAAGCTAAAAATCCGGCCACTTCCAGCTGCTTGTAATAATGAAAGTGTCAATGACACTGTAGCTCACCTTGGGTGTGATAGAAGAGGGAGGGGGATATATAAAGCAAGAGTATATATGGGAGAACTCCCATTATATAGCATATATCTCCCATTATATGCTCTTGATAATGATATATATATATGCATAAGTTTTGATGCGAAAATAAATGTTTCAGATCTGAAAGTCTGAAATCTTGACGAGAGATGGTGCTACGCCTAAATGATCGCCATTTTGGTTTTCGAATATCGCGCAAATAAAAACAATAAAATATTCCAGTCGAACGTACTGTCTGTCTGACGTTGGGCCAACGTTGGCAATATGACGTTGGGCCAACGTTGGCTGACTGCCGTTGGGCGCAATGTTGGCTGCAACGTCTTGGGCCCAACGTTGGCAGCTGAGCAAAAACAGATCGTATTGGATCAACGCCTTGGCTGTCTGACCGTTCGCGGCCGGAACGTTGGGCATATTATGAGTCTTTCGACCTGTTGGGCACACGTTCGCCTCCACTGCCGTTGGCCCAATGTTTTGGCTTGCCAACGTTGGGCCAACGTTGGCACGACTGCAGCAAAAGAAGACGTTGGATCAACGTTCGGCTTGTCTGATCGTTTGCGGCCAGACGTTGAGCAATAGGTGAGTCCTATGACCGGTTTGGGCTCAACCGATTTGGCTAGACCTGCGTTGCGCCGCGCCAGACGGTTGGGCCACGTCGGCCCACGCGTTGGCCCAATGTTGGCTGCCAACGTTGGGCGCCAACGTTGGCGACGCTGGAGAACTAAAGACGTTCGATGCGACGTTGGCCCTAACGTTTGCGAAGAGCTGAAGACAGCCGTTGGCCCCCAACGTTTGGCCGCAACGTAGCATGTTATCTGGATTACGTAAATGTTCCGCTAAAGTTCTGTCGCTACAGTAGGTCCACACTCAGGTATGAGACCTATGGGTCATAAAATGTTGGGTTGACGACACCAAATATTATGCCTCTACGATATTTAAGGATCTTTAGTTTATTTAAAGCAAATAAACCAATTTCATTGAACGGCCATCTTTAAATCAAGATGGACCTCCTCTATGGCTTTCTAACGGTGTCAAGACTTATGTGTTTTCCACCCCTATCGGAAATGGTTGGTTATCGACACAAAAATTATGTCTTGCTAGCGAGTCGTTAATGGAGTCTATGTTATTCAAAATAAACAAATTTTCACGTGTGGCCGATCTTGTAAATCCAATATGGCCGCCCATCCTATGTTTCTCTAAAGTGTGATAACTTTGGTTTCCCGCAGACACACACACTACTCGCCGAAAATGCCTCGGTAATCAACGCACCCGAACCTCTCATGCTCTCTACCACCCGCGTCTGGCGACGCTCCCAGCCCTATCCCTCTCCAGAAAATACCCACTCTCTTCGCCACTCACCTCGCGCTCTCCCCACTCCCTTTGGAACTTCTCAACAGATGGCCGCCACAATACCGCCGCCCCCACACACAGCTCACTGCATGGAAACATACGCCAGTGCGACATCCCCTCGAAGTCATCATGAGAAGCCTGATCCCTCCTCTACACGTATTCCGGCAGCCTCTTACCCCAAAAGAGTTTAGGGCTTCCACTCCCTTATTTTGGACTCATCTGCGCGCCCCCCGTGCACTAAAAAGTGGCACGTGGCTCGAATGTAGGTCAACTTGGCGTGGCTCGCAAATTAGAGGACCGGTTCAAAACTATCTCGTCCATAGGAGTCAACAACTATAATGCATTATGATAACATGTGGGTCATAACGGTTACTTGAAAGTTATCGCTCTTGACGTACGTCCCCAGCCAATGTCTCGACACGCAACGTACGCCGCGGCGGACGGAGCGGACGGATAGCGGACGGGACGTAGATCGGAACGCAGCCCCCCACACTCCTGGCAAATAGCCTCACCATCTTGACAGGATGTGCCAAGCGCTAGCTAAAAATGCGGCAGCGCTTTTGTGCACAAACTCAATCTTTACGCCGCCACCCACCAAAACACCCAGCACACCTTTTAGCACGCAACTGTCAACTCTCTATATTAAGGCATCTTTGTTTGACTGTTCAACCCTATATAGAATGTTTCTATGTATACTACGTCCAATGTTCAATTGATTAGGACCTCATCGCGCTCATCACTGCTGTCCTTGCTGAGAAGTAGTATTTGGTCTACTTCAAACGCGAATCACTATTCCTCCCCCGCCTAATCACTTAAGAAAGACTTCACCATCCATCCCTCTCCTTTCGATCGGTCTCCTTTCTCTAACACCCTACCACTGCATGGCATGCATGGCAATGCAATGCATGCATGCATGCATGCATACATACATAGCAATACAGATAATACATCATACATACATTACCATACCATACCATACATTACATACATACATCCATCAAGCAACCTCACATACCATAACCCCCCCTACATCACACTACCCACCTTCACACTCCATACACTACATACATACATACAGTACACACAGTACATACATCCATACTATACCACTAGCTATACATACATAGCATACATAGCATACATACGATACATGACATACAATACATACAGTACACTACGATACATACCCCACCCCACACTCCTCTCACACTCACACTCACCACAATACTACATACTACTACAATCTCCTGCTCTCCTTCTCTCTCACTTCGTACTCCTTCCCGCTTCCTTCTCATCTCCCGCAGTTAATACTCTTCCTAATTGTAGCGCCAGCCCACAGCTAGCCAGAAGATCAACCCCGCACCCCCGCCCATCGGCATTCCCACCCCAACTCCCCATGCCACGCGCACCACATGGCACGCAGCACAGCCATAGTACGATCACCGTGTACAAGCAGCCCACACATTAAGATGCGCCGCAGCGGCCACGACGCGACAGGCTACGGCATCTGCGCCACCCTCAGCAGTATGATAAATCCTCTAAGCGAAATATTTTAGAGTGAATCACCAATCTTCTGCGGCGAAAAATTTAAGCTGAACCACATGGCAGCGCCAGTAACTTAAGCTTCCGCTTCTAGCAACTTAAAGCAATCGTGTACGAACACACACGTGCATTAAACACGTGCATATCACATGTTATAAGTGCATGAAGCCTGGCACTAGATTAAACTATCTTGGATGCTATCAGATAGACATGAATTACAGATTGTCGTGGCAACAGCTTTGCCTGTTGATCTCCTGAGCCTGCGCGGATGAGACGCGCATGTTCGCGGATATGCGCACGCGGACGCGCGGGATGTTGCAAGGTATTGAAGCGCTGTCCGCATGTGAGAACCCAAAAAATGGCCCCAAAGTTCGAGGCCGCGCGCACGTCTCACAGCGGTCAGCGGATGGTCTGCTGTTTTAGAAGATAACAATGAAGACTCTTGTTCTATAATAAGAACTAGCGGCGGCTAAATAAGGGAATATACCAGACCGTGTTGGAATTTCCTTGATGTTAGTCACGTTGCAAAGGGCTTGTTGGGGGTCCGATTATGCAACGAGCTTCCCAATTGAAATGGCCCATGAAATTGTGCAAGTGGAGATTGTGTTTTCGGACACGCGGTCCAGAAAATTGTCTCCTGCTTACATGCACCCCCTCCCGTGATCAATCACAGCATTGTCAGGCGAACAATAAGCAGAGATGAAAATTGTTGTTGAGTTTGTGGCTCTCGACGCACGTGGCAGTGACGTACAAGCAGCTGTGAAACAACAAGGCACTGCTGGAAACGTCTGCAATCAAATAAATATTCACCGACAATTTCTTCGAACAACTGATCGACCCCTGTTGGGCAAATAAATGGTGAACGTATGCTGAAAACATATAGCCGTTAGCTACTTACTTGCCTGACATATCCGTGACTAACTGACATCCACTAAATTGGTAAAATGTTCCATGGCACCTTAAGAAATATGCCTGAGAATATTACGAGGTTATATCATCGCCAGAACTTCCGAAACACCGTACGTCACAAGCTATATGTAAGCCCACACACATGTGTTGCTGTATTTTGTGAGGGATGCCTGCCTCGATAATCCATGTTCGACGCTGTAAGCGCGCAAGCATGAAAGCATGCCTGCAAGAGACGACACAGCGACCAGCTACGTTCATTGGCTAAAACAATCGAGTAGCCGGCAGTTAGCGGATTTTCGAAATTATTTTAATTGTTGAAGAAAACTTCAATGTTTAATGAACATGACGCACTCGCATCACTTCGACATGCCGAGTGAAAATGGCGAAAATGTTCCACTTCGACTGGGAAAATGCATCGGCCGCGGCATTTCATTATTTACGTAAAATTAACAGGCTGGTGAGAGACGGTAGGTGTTAACTGGGTCAAGGGGCGCGGACCTCGGTGACGCCCCATCATGTCTCAACGAAGAAAGGCAGGTGGGCTTATTCTGAATTACGGAGCTGCGAAACTGAACACAGAAGGACGTAGCGGGCAGTGCGCTAAAACAGCGTGTTATTTTCGTATTTTGTGTTGTTATTGCTCTGCTCTCTCGTCTCTGCCTCTCGTGCTCCGCCCGTCTTCTCTCTCTGCTCGTCTCTCTCTCTCTCTCTCCGTCTTCACTCTCTCATCTCGTCTGCTCTCTCTCTCTCGTCTCTGCTGCTCTGCTCCTGCATCTCTCTCTCTCTCTCTCTTCTCGGTCTCCTCGTTGCTTCTAGCTTCGCCTTTTCTCGTACCTATTTAATTTCACAACGCTCTCCCTTCACTCTTCCTCGCGATCAGTCTATCTTATCATCACTCTCTCACCCCCCTCTCTGGCACACTCTTCGTACATACATACGTGAAGTTAATATACCATCTGCTGTCGGTGGTGCATTAATGTAGAAAGCACACTCACCCGCCCACTCACAAAAGGAAGCGCTGCACATCATCTCGCCCCATAATTGCGTTACACGAGCTCTATACAGCGAGCACCGCATCAGCAGATTTCCTGCATCTATATAACACAGCTGTACATTTACGACCACTCTAGCTCCTCTCTCTCGCGTTCGTGTTTAACGAACACACAATGCCCGCGCGACCCACAGACACACACGCGATGGGAATGCCGCACGCAACAGAATTACCGGCCACCAGAAGAGATCCCATAGGTTCATCCTTCCTCGGTCAAACTTGTTCACGGGTGACTTCACTGAGCGGCGCCACTCTTGCCTTTCTATTCCGATCGATGGCACGCGCACAAGCAAGCAAACAACACTCTACTACAGACACAATAACAAAAACAACAACAAGAAGAAAAACGCCGATCAACGTACGCACGTCCTCTCAACACGCATCCTCTGACCGCTATTGGCCTCCCGAAAACCCGCAAACAAAGTCGTCGCCCGCATGGCCGTTCGTTTAAAAATTTCAACACGTGTTCTAGGCAGCGGCGTGGAAGAATCGTGTGCGTGCGTATCCCCTCACACGCCCCTCGTCTGCCCGCAGCGACAGCGCAACCGCGCGCGAGAAAAAAACGAGACAGTTCTCGCCTCAGCAAGCGGGCAGCTGCGGCACTCCGCATCCTCATCCATATATACCATATGGAGACTGATCATCACCACAGCAGCAGACTAAAACTGGCAGTCTCCATCTGCCTGCACTCTATCTCTAATTGGCGAACGTGGCCGCTCTGGCGACACCCACTCGTAATGATCCACCATTTTTTATTCACCCCTTTGCTTTTTTTTCTGGCGGCGAGCGAGGATTAGGGCTTCGTGCCGGCTTCGTCACGAAGCCCCACGCACGCTCGTTAGAGCGGAATCCCCCACTTACAACCGCGATCTGAGAGATGTGGGGAAATCTCACCAGCCATCGCACCGTGGCTTTACATCCGCGCGATGTGCGTAATTGGCCCGACATTGCAGTGCCGGACAGCTGGCGCTTGCCACTCCGCCGGGCAGCCATCCATCACGGGTTGCCAGGGCGACTCGCTAACGCACAGCTTCCTCAGCGTCTCCACCGGTACCATGCAAACATGACGGTGACGGCCTGCAGTCACTCAGTCGGGCAGGCACTCAGGATGTGTCACGATCAGCAGCAGGGCTTCTCGGTATACAACAGGTGCATCGTATCAGCAGCACTCAGCTCCTTCCCTCACTACACTGGTGCTCGACACATCGTTGATGCAACAGCCAGGTTTAGACTGCTTGAGCCGAGCGGTCTGCCACGCGCAGTCCTCGCTGTATGTACACAGTATATATGCTAATATATGACGACGCGAGTGAATGGAAAGCATGAGTAATAAAGATTTCGGATAGCGACTACAAGACAGGCTTTTCCATTACGCTTATACCTAGTAACCACGCTGATCACAAATAACACAATTTCCCTGCGTTCGCGCCACCGCACGTACAGCTACAATAACAGCAACAGGACACAACATCCACCGCGTACATGTACAACCCCGACCTAACATCTTTACAAAACTGCTCCTACTCCCGTACTCCAACCCGCTTGCATTCTGATTACTTGAATGCTCCTCGGGAAAACTTGACAGCCTATCTCGCTAATGCGTGAGGTGAGTGGGATCGGTGGCCCTTTATTTTCCCGCAAACAAAACATACAAGCATCACTTGTGTCAGGCACACGCTCACGATGACTTACCCATTCCAGCTGCTCACTGAGACTGCGCTTAACCGCTTCTTAAACGTCATTGAGATAAACCATTTGCGGGTTATATCAGACAAGAAGCCACGCAATTGCAGCAGGTGACGCAACATCACCAACATCAGCTTTGGATGCGTAATATATTTTGATAGTCATCTCTCACGCTGACGCCAGAAATAATAGACTTCTCATCTTGCGTTCGCTCTTCCAGCGCGAGTAAACAGCGACCACTCACATGTTATCAGTGTCTTTGTGTGCTGTGACACATATTGGTCCTCAGCATGGAGTGTTTAATATTGCTTCCCCGCTTCCCCACTCCCGCCCCTCCACGCGCGGACGCGCGCGCGAACGCAGGGCGCAATCTCTGCTCGTTCCACATCCCTGCCAGCTGGTCAAACAGCTCAGTGTTCTAATAAATTCCAATTACGTTTCCTCGACAGCTCTTCGGAGTGCCCATGAAAATACCCCTCCACCTCATCCGGTGACGAACTCCCTCCATCTTCCCGAGGACAACCCAGTCCCCCTGTAAGATGACGACCCCCTCCCCCTGCACGATGACGATCCCTCCCCCTACACGATGCTAACCCACTCCACTTACACGGTGACGACCCCCTCCACTTAAACGATGCTACCCCCTCTCCATACACGATGACGACCCCCTCCCCCTACACGATGCTAACCCCCTCCCCCTACACGATGCTAACCCCCTCCCCCTACACGATGACGAACCCCTCCCCCTACACCATGACGAGCTGCCTCCTCCTCCTCCTCCTCCACCGGGTGATGGCATCTCCCTCACCCAGTAACGATTACCCTCCCCGCCCTGTGACGAGGCATACTTACAATAACAACTCTGTAGACGGTGTTGCTATCAGCGAGGGAGCGCACGGACGCCGTGTCAGCCGACATGGCTCGCATCATGCGAATGCTATCCGTGCTAATGACGCTGTCCTGCGACTTCCAGCAACGTGCTGGCATCATTCGACCAGAGTGCAACTCATCATCCGCCTCATCCACCTCCTCTTCGTCGTCGCTGGTGAGGCTGTCCGTGTCTCGGGCGACATCGCTGGAGAACGTCTCGGAGTCGTTTGAGTCGTCGAGGTCCGATGCGAACGTCTCATTGGGACTGCAGTCTGACTCTGGTGCGTCAGACGTCGGCAGGCTGAGTGCCGCGTCCAGCCTTCTCAGGTTGGTCACTGTGAGGTATCGCTGACCGCCGACCCGCTGCGCTCCATCGACGTCCGGCGCTTGACCGACGGGATTCGAAGACGGAGTGATGACGCGGTCACCATATGCCTGACCGATGTCCGACCCTTGCCAAATCGGCCTTATCTGACTTATGACTGGGTCAGCGCTTGCTCCGATGTCCAGTGCTTGACCGATGGGCTGCACATGATCGATGGGTATAGCGCTGGTATTATCAGTGTCGGTGTTACGAATGAAGTGTTTGTGTGCGCATGCAAGCTCCTGTTGTCGATCTGCACTCGGGTAGTGACTTAACGCTGCATCGTGCTCGCCATGGTCGGTGATGTCACGTCTACTCTTGCCAACATCACCACTGTGATCAGATGCCCTGCACTTCTCAGTCTCCCGACGAAAGCTTAGCTGCCTGTAAGCACGTCCCCTATTAACTGGCATTTCACCAACGTCGTCGTGGCTAGAAGGATGCCTGCCTTCAACTGCTACCACCTCTAGCTTCCTCTTGACTGCGTAAGCTATCTCTACTGGACTCACTGACACGACATCGGCTCGTAACTCAACAGCACTGTGCTGACTCCCTCTGTCGATGTGACAATCTTGCGTAAGATTATCGACCATGTAACCTTCTGAAGCGACCTTAACTGCGGCATTATCATTGACATCTGTGTCACAGTCCAGCCGATCACCATCACCAGCACCAATGCTGTCACCGCGGTAATCATTGTAGCTGTCTGCTAGGTTTCTTATGGGCGCTTCAGGGTTACTGGTACCACGTCCCATATCACCGATTACACCCAGCTGGGCATTTCCCACAATCTCCGTCTTTGACACGTTGAGGCTGTCTATAGCTATAGCTTCACTAAGAGTAGCGACCTCAGTACTGAGTGTCTGTGCTGTGGATGCAATCTCGCTCGCCCCGGCAACCACATTCTCACAGGTTACCTCATTCTGTTCGCCAGTACTACCAACTGACAGTGGCTGCCAACGTGTTTCATATCGGCTTTCACTTGCTACCCTTTCATCTTCATCAACGTACATTTCAGTGACAGAAACCGGTACGCTCCTCCCTTCAGCACCATCACGATGGAAGTCCGTGTCTACGTGTTTGATAGCATCATTGACATGGGCAGCCTCTGTCGTGACGCCACACTCTATCTGGATCGGGTGACAGGCACTGTGTAGAATCTCGTCCCGGTCCATTGCTTCATTGCTACCACCACCATTACTGGGCAGTAAGCAGTGGCGGTCAGCATCCTTGCAGGCACCTGTCACACGGTCAATTACGCAGTCAATGGGGACCTGTCTCTCTTCAATATAGTCAGGATCATCACTACTGGCTGTGGCAACTTGTACATCGAGATGGAAGGTGGCCGTAGAAGCACCTACTGACCCAATTTGTGTGCTCAAGGCTGATTCATCCAGGTTATACACATTCGTCTTGGTCATCATTTGCTCTACATCTTGTAGAATTTTAAAATATTCTGCTCGGCCAGTGTCAGCAGAGATGCTGGAGACCTCATTATCGTAATCTTCCTGTTTTAGATTGGCTTCAGCATGGTTACAATCTTTGTCCTGCTGTCCTTCCTGTTCACGTAGGCATGTATTTACAATATCGCTATCTGCCAATTCAGAAACTTCATCCTGTTCAAGGTGATTCACAGGTAAAACAGCTAATGCTAGGTGAGCAGCTTCTTCCTGTGCGCTGTGTACTGTAGGGACAACAGAGCCACACTCTGAATCACAAACATCTTGTTGTTCGCATGTGACAGTAGGTACCATGTCACCACAGTCGGGGTTACAAACGCCACCCTGTTCACGTGGAACGTTAAACCCAACGTTTACACTGTCTGGGTCAAGAACTCTTTCCTCTTCGCATGGCACACTACATGCAATGTCACCACACTCAAGGTCACGAACACCTTCCTGTTCATGTGAGATAGTAGCTACAACTTTACCACACTCAAGGTCACGAACGCCATCCTGTTCATGTTGGATAGTAGCTACAACGTTACCACACCCAAAGTCACAAACACCTTCCTGTTCATGTGGGACAGTAGCTACAACATTACCACACTCAAAGTCACAAACACATTCCGGTTCACGTGGGACAGTAGCTACAACGTTGCCACAATCAAGGTCACGAACGCCATCCTGTTCACGTGAGACAGTAGCTACAACGTTACCACACTCAAGGTCACGAACACCTTCCTGTTCATGTGGGACAGTAGCTACAACGTTACCACACTCAAGGTCACGAACGTCTTCCTGTTCATGTGGGACAGTAGCTACAACGTTACCACACTCAAGGTCACAAACCTCTTCATGTACGCATGGCACAGTAGGTACAACGTTACCACAGTCTAGGTCACAAGCATCTCTCTTTTCGCATAGGACAGTAGTTATTAGATCACCACAGTCTGGGTGACAAACGTCTTCCTGTTTACGTGCAGTGACAGCCGGTGAAACATCACTGCATTCTATATCCTGAACGTTGTTGCCCACCACAGCTTTACCAACGCTTCGCTCTATGCATTCCCCGCCATCTGAACGCGCCTCCGTCGTGGCGCCAAACTCGCACCCCTCCACGCCAGGGCGACCTGACGCATCGTCAACCCCAATGCTGCCACCACCACTCATATTTTCCGAGTCCGATGTGCTCGCGGACGAATTCAATCCACTGTCGGTCAGACCGCACATGCCATTGCTGAGCGCCACCGCAGCACCTGCGACACAGACAAGTGCCGCATCAGCCAGCGAATGTCCGCCATCAAACTCATCCTTAAACTCATCAAGGCCTCGAATTGCGATTCGATCCATTATTTCGACCGGCCGTCAGTCAAACCATCAGCCGGTTGTTCACTCGTAGTGGTAGTTGTACGATCGGTCACCCGCTACTGGACTCGCGGCCACCGGATGCAATCGACGGTGCAAATGTTCGGTTTATTGATGTTGCCAATAGATGGCAAGAGTCTCTCGTTTCTCGCTCGGCGTCTCATTCCCACGTCTAATGTTACGTTCGCAATGCGCGTGCACGCGCGCTCACGTCCGAAAAACGGATATCTGAAATCAATTTCTCGCGTGTGAATTACACATGCATTCTGCCACAGCGCGCGTAATTTGCACGAGAAATTGCGCGAGAAATTGCGCTCCTAAAATCCTCGCCGAGAGTCTGAGCACGACCCGCTCGCTAGATCACAAATTTGTCGGAAGACGTGGAGACGAGGAACGGTTTCACACTTCCCACGGCGCGAGCACAAAACCAACACGCCGCGCCGTCTCGCCCCAGACACTGCACGCCCAGAAACACACGGCCACGGTCACCCAGTACATTAACGCACGGCACATGAAAGCCTGCCCGCGCTGACACATGCTCCGTCGGCCGGTAGGCTGCTCGCGCCACTCGCGACCAAGAACCACCATATAAGATCGCCACCTGAACGTTATGTCATGCCAGCCGGTGCGGCGCGGCCAAGCCTTGTGTGCGATACTGCTAGCTGCTAGCCGCCGCTGATGCTGCCGCTGCTGCCGTAACACATACAGACATGACACGCTTAGCCTGTCGGCAACGAGTATGGCCAATGTGTGCAAGATCAGTCAGCATTCCTCATAAGTGGAAGGCGACGACACATGCATGTCACATGTTAATGTCGGTAGCACGCGGATGGTGCGGCCACGGGGCGCTTTTACACCGCACAAATAGCTTATAGGCTCTAGACTAGCTCTCGCCCCAGCTATCTCTCACACACTCTCTTTCTCGCTCGATCTCGCTCTCTCTCCGTCTAGGTCTCTCTCTCCGCCTCACGCCCGCTTTCTCTCCCCTATCGCGCGCATGCTCTCGCTTGCTTGTTCCCTCACACGTGCTCTCTTCCCCTTATCTCTTTCTTTTGCTGCATATCTCTCTCATTCACACGCAGACATATAAAAGGAAGCAACCTTTCCGCAGCCGTGCGATAAGCCATAGATATTCCGTAGATTCTCAAAGCATATTTGGTGACAATTTTCGCATGAAGTGCCAAGCGATCCAAGAAGAAACTCGACTGTTTGACGCGAGAGTCGTGCAACACTGCCTGACAGTAGCAGCAAGCTCGATCCGCGCTCAAGGCTCTCCCCATCTCCCTGGCGATCTCCGTACAAACAAGGGTGGCCTTGGTCGACAAGCCTGCTGCGCGGAACGAGATTATTCCTTCCTTTTCTGTTTCATCTCAATCGGCGTCGCTTAAGACTGTTCGAGCCACTAATGATCTAGACACACACGCGCGCACTGCGCGCCTCATACACGGTGTATTTAATATTGAACCCATGGCGCTTGCATACAACCAAGACAACCATAGAGAGGCATGGTGGGGGGAGATACCGCGCTCGCGTACAACAAGAAATCGTTCAACCAGAGAGTGTACACCTAGCGATCTAGAGACACGGCACAGAGAGAAAAGAGACTGTGGTTGCATATAAACAGAGTGCTCAAACAAGGAACAACAGTACAGAGAGACAAGAGACTGTGGTTGCGTACAAACAGTCTTCAAACATGGAACAGCGGTACAGAGAGGCAAGCGACTGTGGTTGAGTGCAAGCAGAGTATAGTCAACCAGAAAGCAGTCGTATAGAGACGCTAGTGACTACAGTTTCGTGTGACCAGAGAGTGTATCGCCAGAGAGCAGCGGCACAGAGGAAGAGACATCGCCCTCACTGAACAACCGTATGATTTCACAGCAGGCGCCGTGACCAGCACTGGCGTGATCTCGCGGCCCTCGCACATACGAGAGGCAGAAAGGAGGACGCGACGCGGTTCAGCGGTGCGAGGCGATGCGACGCCAACGTAAACGAATCGGTACGAGCGTGATTCAAAGCGCGCTGGACAGAGTCAATATATATATAGCCGCCACGCTGCAACCATAGATCGTACGATACCACTTCAGCACTTCACAATGAATGTGCACGCGATATATAGGTGCGCGTCCGAAAAGGCAGCAACAGTAGCGCAGATGCACTCCGTTAGCTATGACGTGACCATAGTTTGGTAGAATGTTGGGCGAGTGGACTAAAACTAGCGGCAGCGCTGCAGACAACGGAGTCGGTGGAGGCAAGTGATACATGCATCGACAGTGTGAGCTGCAGCCCTGCAGGCCGCGGAGATTCATGTGCCCGCTGGTCATGAGAATAAGTTCATTAGCGGTTGTTGATCAATTAGATGGGGGACTCTTGCACACTGTCGGGTTTTAGCAACAGCTGGCTCTCTCCTAGCTATTCATTCGGATAAACAATTGAGAGACAACACCGAGACAAACAGTCTAGAGACAATATAACGACACAAACAGTGTATGCCCACGTATGAGCGGATAATTGATGGTAATACTAAAGTTTGCCCCACATCGACTATGTTATACTGTCTGACAACTCAACCGTGCTGTGCTTTCTACCAACCATGAGAGATCTTATAAAAAACAGCTCTGCCGGGTAACTAGCGGAGGCTGAATGGCTGGTGGGGGAAGTCTGACATGCCGGCTAGACCATCTCTCGCTATCGGCACGGGTGGCCTGCAACACGGAGCGTTGAAATCCCATCGCAACAGCTGCCAAGTCTCTATATATCCCGGCCCTAGAGCCACACAGGCGTCTCATATAGGCAGAGCTGATCAACCAACGCATGAGATGTGTACCACTGCTTGGCCGGCGGCCATCGGAAAGCTCGATCACTCGATGATGCCGAAGTGTATATACTAAATACACACGTAGCTCGGTGTATGACGGGCTGGAGGCTACTCGACAGCTGCCCGGATCACAGAACCACACGCGTCCCGCCTACATAACACGCACACTATCACTACCGGCCGTGTGTCACTGGCTAGTGGCTACTGTTTGTTCACACGCGCCACTTGCCGACAGTAGCAGCCCCGTGACAAGGTGCGGCACAGCTGCGGCTGTGCACCAACGACCAGCAGCAAAGCTTAGTATCAAGAGCGTATAAAGAAGAATATACCTTCTTTATACGCTCTTGTTAGTATAGATGTAATCATTAGCACTCGAGGAAAACGCCTGTTGCCGACAGCTATAGTGTCAGTCCACTCACTTATAGCACTTTCTGACCAAGATGGCCTGTCCATATATAGCGAGTAGAGGTGATTCTACGGCAGCTCTATATATAGCTTACATAACCCGGCTTCACGTGATAAGAGATTCTGTGCTGCGTGATCACTGACCGCTAGAAGAATTTTCAACGAAGACTAATCGCATACAGAATTCACTGCCAAACAAAATCACTTTCATCGAGTCGGCACCAGAGAGAAATCACTTTCCACAGCAAAGCAGACGCATTCCACGCTCGCGTTTCCAAATTTACGATCGTATTATTAACAACAGATGAATTTCTCCGCTCCACGCTCATCCTTCCTATGTAGACCTACACTTGACTATATCTCTCGCTCTCGGTCTCCCCACCCCGCTATATCACTCTTGCTCTCCTTCCTTCCTTCCCCGCACTTTCTCATTTATGTCTGTTCCCCGTTTAGAACTATATCTCTCGCTATCAGTCTCCTCATCCCTCTATATAAATATTGATGTATTTCTCCGCCTCACTTCATCTTCATTCGCATCCTTTCTCTTTTCTCTCTCTCTGTCTCTCTGTCTCTCTGTCTCTCTGTCTCTCTGTCACTCTGTCTCTCTCTCTCTCTCTCTCTCTCTCTCTCTCTCTCTCTCTCTCTCTCTCTATATATATATATATAATATATATATATATATATATATATATATATATGATATATATATATATATAATATTATATATATATATACATATATATTTTTTCTCTTTTTCTGCCCCTCTCTCTGCCTCTTTCCGCGCAGCCGTTCAGGCGGCTGTAAGTAACGATCAGCGCACGCACGCACGCACACACGCACGCACGTGACGTCGACTGTCGCAGCTTCATAGGCAATTCACGACGACTGCGGCAAGCACAACACAACGGCCGAGCAGCACACCAGAGATACACAACGCAGATCACACGATTCCAGTAGATAACTACATCCACTATGTATAAACTCGCACTTTCACGATGAAGAACCGAAGAGATAGAGAGAGCGAGAGAGAGAGAGCGCGCGTCGGCAAACCAGACGACGTGACACATACTCCTCTATATCCAAGAACTCGGAGAAACGAGATAGGACCCGGGTCGAGTCAACGCCATCGGACGCACACACTGGGACTGACTCGAGCCCCGGGACGCCCAGGATACTTCCTGGATCGACGCGTGAATCACTGGCGAAGAAGAGCGCAGCATACCTACGGCGCGCTGCGGCCCGAAGATGGCGCGACTTGATTGCAAAACACGTGCGCGCCGACCGACCGCGTGCGGCGAGGCAATGCAAGCCGTCTTCGCTTCGAGGGAGAGATTCCAGAAGACGTACGTAAACAGGATGTACACCTCGTATACAAGCGGCCCACACAACAGTCTCTTTCTTTTTTTCTTTTTAGACGTTGCCAGTCCATTTGCACGCCCGCTGTCAATCAACGCAGTGTAGGGCTTCGTAAGTTAACACATATGGAGTCGCGTCGCGAGAGGGAAAAGAGGGAAACAAACGGAGAGAGAGAGAGAGAGAGAGAGACGGGGAGGGATGGAGAGAGAGGGGGGGATAGAAAGTGTGCGCTCGTGCGTGTTTGTAAGCATGCAAGAAAGTGCAACACTCGCAGCTGTATCGATATAGCCATCCATCACCTTCCCCGCGGACAGGAGACGACGCTGCACGAGCGAAACCAGGTCCGAGACCAAAAATACCCAAAATACTCCAAATTCACAGACCAGGCAGGAGATAGTAATAAAACCCAACCGCTCTATCAATTAAATATGAAGCCATACGCACAGACGCATAGTACCTGTCATACGCACGTGAAGCACACAGCAGCAGCTAGTGCGCGGAGCCACGCGTCACGAGCACACTGCCTCTGCCACGAACACGCACACGCAAACAGCAGTCGACAGCTTCCCTCACCGAAATGAGGCTTCCTTTCCTTCATTCTTACCACACGCTCCTGACGCGCGCGCGACAAAGGCGACAATCGCACGCGGCACATAATTCCGCTGTGACGATATATCGACGTTTTTACCCGCGTCTCT